GAATGCTAGAGAGTCCTCCTTTCTCTTCTTTTTTCTTTTTGTACATGAGAGACAATTACTTGCAAAATAATGACTACATTGTTTCTAATTCACCGACAAGCTTCCTCTAACATCTTTGATGGGAAGGTTTTAATGTTGACATGATCTACACCCAGTGCGTAGTTCGATGTTGGCGATATGATGGGTGACCTTTAGACATGGGTAAGAAGCTTGGCCTCAATAGTCAGAAGGTGCATTCAATGTTGAACAAATAGATATTCCTCGATTCGAGCATTCTTTATTCGCTTTGGTTGGAGGGCTTGATTCAACCACTACGGCTGGCAGACCTGGTTCAGCCACTTCAACTGGTGGGCTTAATCAGCTACTTTTGTTGATGGGTTTGGTTCAACTACTTCGGGTGATTGGCTTAATTCAGCCACTTCGACTGGTAGGTCCAGTTCAACCACTTCTGCTGGTGAATCTGATTCCTGTGAATTAATAGAGAAAAATAATTTGAAAATCACTATGATCTGGTATTTGTGTATACACGTGGGTGCGTTGCTGGATTGAATTAGAAATTAGTACTTAGTTTATTCCATAATTATTCAAAAATCACTCAAAATTTTCTTATTTACATCTAAATTGATGACATGTTGGATCTCTCTAAGTAGTGGCAACACAAGTGATAGGTTATAGGTTAGACAATCCTAAACACACTTAGTTGGGGCTAGCATTTGTCTGATATTAGCTTTTTGGACTCACTAACATCAAAGAAAACCAATGTTAATCTTGATGGTGCTTTTCTCATAGGCTCAATCTGAATGACCTATTGGATTATTTGCATCTCTCTCTCATCAATTTAAAGCTAGCATGCCTTTTACGTATTCACCAACTTCAGTGTCGCTTGTGTCACCGTATATGTTTTTCGATGCTTTCCTCTCATGTTTGGGCAATCTGATGCAATATGTCCAAAATCATAGCACTTGAAATATTTCTTGGTTAGATGGATTCGAGAGTGTCGGTGGGCTCTACATTTTCTTCTATTTGGATTTGTTTTTTTTTTTGGCGGGTTTGGCTTGGTGTTCCACTGAATGTACTCTTCTTACCCGATCCAATGGTTGAACCCTGTTTGAAGGGTAATGTGGACCTGATAATGCTATGTTGTCTCTCCATCTTCATGATTAGGGTTTGAACATCGTGTAATGTGTAATAGGGTTGTAGATGTACCACATTATCAATGGTCGGTCTCAATCCTCTCAGATATCAAACTATGGTGTTTTCCTCAGGCTTCACCAGCTCACACCTCAATATAAGATACTCAAACTCAACTTTGTACTTCCTTATTGAGGGATCTTTCTGTTGTAAGCGATGAAGTCTCAAGGTTACGTCTTATCTGTAATATGTTGGTAGGTATTAGCATTATCTTTCCCTTTTTCAACTTGGACTAGATAATGAATTTTACTTTTTTTTCTCATTTTAGTGTATGTGTTTTAAATTTTTCCATCACAGAGATTCACTCTTTTTTAACTTAATAACGACTAGCTTTATCATTATGCCCAGAGGGATGATCTTTAAATCAAAGACATGTTTTTTGTCTCGAGTCAATCGGTAAATTTATTTTGAATAATGTGATCGCAAAATCCTATAAATTCTCATTTACTCATAGGATCCTGGTTTCTTTTCTGATATTTCATGTCAAATTTTTGGGGATTGGTTATTCATTTCTAAAAATTTCCTGCTCTCGATCTGTCTAGTCACCATTGGAGTTTTTAGTGAACTCACCTGATTATCTTCTCTCGAAGACAATAAATCTCTATTGCAGTTGGAGGATTTTCCATTGCATATCTTTAATAATATGTTCCTAGAAACCTTTTTGAGGGCTTCTCCTTAGCGGTATGATGTTTTTTTTCTCTCTATTAGATCTTCAATGGATGTAGGATTGCAAATCAAAGGTTGGTTGGGGGCTTGGGTTATGGTGGCAGGTGTCTATTTGGTGAAGGTAGGAAGATTGAATTTTGAAAATCTATAGTTGGGGTAAGGAATTTTGGTAGAATGATTTGGGCATGATGGGATTTTTTTTCTTCGAAATTTTGGATTTGAGACTAAATAGACAAATCCCTAAATTTAGGATATGTTGGGCAAATCCCTAAATTTAGGATCTGTCGAGCTCTGATATCAGATGATATTGTTCTAGGTCCTTACGAAGTGTTTAGGAAGCTGATTTTTGACGAGGATGTAGTGGGGAAGTAGTAAGGGAATGAAGTGTGGGTGATTGATAATATTTGAGGGGGATAGATGGCATTCAACAACTGTCTCAATTGAAAATAGCGAGACAAATATTGAAACGGTGATGTGTAGATGTTGAGGAGGTTTACCACCTGTTCCTAGACATGCTACATGCACACCACTTGCAATCGGAAAATGATATAGCATTCCTTAGGGTACAAATCACACATAAAAGCTTTAAAACTCTGGAAAATCTCAAAAGTCTACTAAATAAAAAAAATCATAAATACTCCTAATAGAAAATAATCCTACTTAGAAATAAGAAAACAGTAAATAAGGTAGAAACAGTAAGAATTCTTGCACAAATTGGCAACTAAGCGGAAACAGCTTGTTTGGTCTCCCCGATTTCAAGGCATTGTAGGATCCCGTGATCGGGAAATCGAGGGACTTTCGATCCCGTGATTACACTGGGAGCTCCTGCAGCATTGTGGTTCATTAACATTATATCTCAGGTTGATATAAAGGGTAGTGCAATCAGACAAATTATGGTGCTGTAGAATGAGAATGATCAAATTAAATCTGAGCAGTTACAAGGTGAGTACAATCTCTACAACTATAATATAATAGACAAAAGTTTTGTATTAATTGAATACAACCAGAATGGCTAATACACCAGACAAATTTTGATACAACTGAATACACTCACATCTAATAATATAACTTAGTTAAATTTTTTCTTTTTTGTCTCAGTTGGGTATTTTAATACTCAATACTAATGAAGCCAGCCTAACCCTGAATATAACCTCATTTATATCACGATAAGCTGTCCTAATCTATGATTAATGGGTACTTTTGAAGATCATTAGAATTCAAGACATTCTCATCAAGTAATAACAGATATATTTTAAATTTATAATCATCAGTTTAGGCGATCAATCTTATTATTAAAGGTGTAATTAAAATTATTTTAAAATAAGAAAAATTACTTGATAAAATTGTCTAGTCAAAATGACCTTTTTTGCATTGATTTGCTGGAACACATTCAAATGTTGATTTGGCCTAAGTTCAATAATGAGAAATGTGTAATTGCCAATATAATAATGTTATTTGTCTCAAACTGTCTAATCAAAATCCTGATCTCACATCTAGACATCTGTATACATTACAAGACGATAAAAATGAGTTAAGTCCAATATAGATAGTAAAAGAAAGTAATAAATTTAAATAATAATTGTAATATGTTTGAAAAATATGCAAATTAAAATTTAATCTTTGTTGAATTTAGTTCGAACCTTAATCAAATCTTGCCGAACCTTTCTAGGACTTGTTAAATCATTGTTTCAATGTTCAAATAAGTTTCTTTTAAGTTTAGTCTAATATCCTATTTAGTTTTGGGTCCATAGTATGAATGCCATTTTTAAATTTAGATAACTGAACTTATAATATCACTAATCTTGAATATCTAGCAAGAGATGGAGATGAAAGTTTAGCCTAGAATTTTACTCGCAAAATCATTACTAGCGAAGAACAATCATCAGGAGAAAGGAGGCACTAGGAATAGGATTGGTAGAGCAAATTTAAGCTTGAAGATTTGTTTATATAATACTCCAGCTTCTCTTAAAAATTTACACTCGTTTTCCCAAGAACTGAAATGAGATATTTATCCAATTTTCACTATTCTGGGGCATATAACGTCAAATTATCCTTTTAAGTTTTATGAATATAATTCCTAAAAATTAATAAATTGTATTGTTAGAATAAAAGAAAGATTGTCCCAATAAATTTGATAATTCCTATTTATTAAAGAAATACATGATAACCATAATTATTTTTTTCTTGGTAATAATGAAACTCATATTACCACGAAATAAAATTACTGACTGGCATAATCTTAGGACTTCAGAACTAGAATCTTTTGATGAATCTGTTCTTTTGATTAATCTGTTATTAAATCTAAGGATGAGGGCCTTGCACTACATCACAAATACTAATCATGCGAATGATATGTTTCCCTAAGCTTGTGCTTGTGCTCTGATTATTTTGTTCTGCTGTTGGATTGTTGTTTTGGATCCCGTTCCAATTGGATCATATTTTGATACCAATTGAAAATGGTATTGTTTGGAACGTTAAATTATTGTTTGTTAATCAACTGAAATAAATACCAATTTTATTCGTACACTACTGAAAATATGTTTAATTGAGTAAATAAATTTATGTTTACTATGAATTAAATTATCAGTTCAATAGGAGAGTTACTTCAAACAATGAAAACGTTGTACATGCATGTATGCATTTGTTTGATGCAATCTGTTGTTCAGAAGTTCATGACATCAAGCCCTGTATTCATAACCAAGCTTGCAATATCTCGAAAAATAAGTCAACTTGTTATTGATGTTTTTTTGATTTAATGCCCCCTCCTTTTTGTTTTTTTTTTTTTTTTTGGTGGTGGGGGTGATACCGCACATTTCGTGTGTATTTATATATCTAACACCTAAAGTTTACTTTTTACATTTATGCCATCCAAATCTTTCATGACATATCACAATTTTAATTTTTAAAAAGTGAAATACATCTTTCCATGCATGGGCAAGGCAGCATGTATGTAAAATTTGAAGTTTAGGTGTTAATATGTAAATACACGGGAATTGGGTGGTACAAATGCACCTTTTTTTTTCATGACTATAAACATAATGGAACGGTGCTCTGTATTATGCTCTCCTTTATTGCATCTTCTCTTTGTTTTGATTTACTCAATTTGTCTAAAAAAAAAAAAAAAAAAAAAAAACTTTATTCAGATGATGATTTCAATAAGCCTATGGTCATAGTTGAACCATCTTCTTCTGAAAGAATTTCTCAGAAAGATCACATTAGCAGCGCTTCAGCTTTGCCAACGACTATAATCATACCCCAGGGTGATGTACAAATTCAGGCGAGAAAACGGAGCTTTGTGGAAATTAGGAGAGAAAATGAATGGGAAGTGCTAAAGAGTATTGTCTATGGAGGCTTGATTGAATCAATTATCAGCCTTGGTGTAGTTTCATCAGCTGCTGGAGCTAACACTTCAACATGTATGTATCAGATTTTTTTTTTCTTTTTTAGTATAGTTAGATAACTAATGGCTTGGATGTGTTAGTGGTCTTTTGGATAACTATGGAAGAATCAAACCTGTAGAAGTTATTTTGGAATTGTCTCTGTTAGGTGGCCCAAACCTCTCGTCATATGGGCTCCACAGGATCAATTTGTGGAAGCTATTGGAGGGAGATTTTTTTCAGTTTTATTCTTTTTATTATGTTTCTTATTATATTGTATGTCTTTTCTTTATCGTTTGTTTTGTATTTGATAAGTTATAATAGCCTTAATTATATTTGTCCTAATCATCCCTTATATAATAAAGGGAAATGTTGTAATTTGATTACTATGTAATAAGATAGTATAGTTTCTCCACCTATAGTTTCTCCACCTTTCTTTATGTTATCAGTCTCGTTCGGGCAATCTGCATCGCTAGCTGTCGATGACATCTTTAGCTTCCTCTGCTTCATCATCACCACCCTGCGATGATATAAGGGCGTTGATTGTTCACTGCTTCGTCTGTTTTGAACATCGTCTCTTCCTGTGACGACGGCATCGTCTGCGTCGTTCTAACGAATCTGCGTTGATCTTGTACGCATCTGCTTTGAACGACATTGTAGTCTTCTCTTTGTGAAGATCTGTCGATCAAATTGGCTTCATCTCTGTTTGTCTAAGAATTTTGTCTGCTTCATCTTCGACCATCGTCTTCGTCTTTGGCTTCGTTCCTTGAATGGTATCACCCTAGCTCTTCTTCTGTTGTTTGAATCCACCCTGCCGCCGTCAGAATCCCTTCAGCCTGCCTGCAAGTCCTCCTATGCTCGCTCCTACCGCCATCAGAGTCCCCCAATAGTGTTTAGCAGTCAGAATCCTCCTTGTAGTTGTTGGAATTCCACCATTTGGCCTACAAGCTCTTCTTAGCTCCTTATTATAGCCATTTGACTCTTCCTGCAATTGCAATCCTCTATTTCTGCTGCTAGCAACAGCTAGATCCCTTATCCAAACCTAAAGTGCATAGGGTTTATGAACAAATACAGACTTTAAGTTCTACACCAGAGGTTAGTTTGGAATCAACGACTAAAGATTCTGTCCGAACAGTCCTCGAACTCTATGCATTTATAACAAATCATAAACTCAACTGTCATAACTTCCTTCAATGGTTTCAATCCATATTTTATGTTCATTTGTGGAAAAGAAAATGAAAAACATCTCACAGTAGAAGGCACAATTCTTGAGCTCACTTATCTTAACCATCACTTATGGAATATCCAAGACTATATGGTGATGTCTTGGTTGATCAATTTTATGACCACGGGAGTAGGAGAAAATTTCTTGCTTTACAGGACAACATAGGAGATTTCAGAAGCAGCTCCTGAGACTTATTCTAATACCGTAAATACTATAGTATTGTTGGAGATTGTGACAAAATTGCATGAACTTTGACAAGATGAGTTGAGTGTTACTCAATACTTCAACACATTATCAAAGTATTGGTTACAATTAAATATGTATGAAAGCGCTCTCAAGATGCTATGATGTATAAAAAAAGTAATGGAGAAGAAGAGGACGATCAAGTTTTTATTGGGTATAAATAAGAACTTAGATGAGATCAAAGGAAGAATCATGGGGATGAAGCCTCTCTCCACCATTAGTAAAGCCCTTGCTAAAGTTAGAAGAGAAGAAAGTACTTAGGGAAGCCTTTGTAATTGGAGTAAGTATAAAGAAACTCATGATGACAAGAAGAGTGAGTTTATTTAGCACTGAAAGCTCTGCTTTGTACAAAAACAACTCCTCCCATGATTCAAAACCAAAGAAAAATCGTCCCTTGTGTTTACATAGCAAGAAAATTTTTCACACAAAGGATATGTGTTGGAAACTGTATGTAAAACCTAAACATTTGAAATTTGGACAAAGGAGGAAGGACCAAGACAGCAAAGCCCATGATGTTACCTCTTCTAAAGCATTGGCGGACCCTAGTCCCTTCACTATGGAACAATTAAAAGTGTGTTGAAGAAGGTTCTTACTAGCACTGCTGCGCAGTTTACCAGCTTGATGATACACCAAGATATCATATCCTCCTTTCTTCTTAACAATACAATATTTTGACCTTGGATAATAAATTCAAGTGTTTTCAATCACATGACTAGAGATATTCATGCTCGCACCAACTACTAAGTGATCACCACCTTTAAATTTCTTACTTGTGGATGGATCTCACAACATGATTTTTGGGAAAAGAGGCGTGAAAGTCTCTATAGTTATTCAACTTTCTTCTATACTATGTGTTCCCCAACTAAATTGTAACTTATTTTCAATTTACAAGCTCTCTCATAACTTGAACTGTGTTACTAAATTACATTCTAACTCTTGTGAATTTTAGGTGATGGATTCGGGGAAGTTGATTGGTAGTGTGAATTGCATCAATGTCTTTACCTGCTCAAGGAAAGCTATTTTCTTAACATGCAAGTGTCTTCGCCATTCTCTTCACATATTTATGAGTTTGTTGAAAGTCAACTTTTATTATGATATTGTCATCTAGGTCATTTCAATTTTCATATTGTTATAAAGTTGTACCTCCATTTTTTTATTAATAAAAATCAGAATTTTATCAGTGTTAAACCTACTACTTGGCTAAACACACTCGTCATTTATATCTTCTATATCAGTACAAACCCTCACATCCTTTCTCTATCATCCACATTGGCATTTGGGGACCATAAAAATTGAGTACGACCAATGGAGCCAGATAGCTTGTCTCCTTCATCTATGACCACACTAGAACAAATTGGATATTTCTCATGAAGGAGAAATATGATACTATACTAATATTTTAGTTCTTCAATGACATGATTTACACTCAGTTCCATTACATAATTCAACTTCTCAAAACTAATATTGCAAAATACTACTTTATTTTTTGGACCTACTCGCAAAGAATGGTATCATCTATGTGAGTTTCTGTGTGAGACTCTACAACAAAACAAGACAGCTGAGAAGAAACATAGACATCTCATCAAGGTTTCTAGGCCTAAATGTTTTCTCAAATGTCCTTGCAAAAAATGATATCATAGTTCTTTTATTGAGACTCCACAACAAAATAAAATAGTTAAGCGGAAGAATAGACATCTCCTCAAGGTATTTAGGTTTATAATGCTTTCTCACAATATCTCAAATATTTTTTAGGAGATGCAGTGCTCACAACCACCTACGTTATTAATAGATGTCAAATATAGTCTTTGGATTCAGAACGCCTATCCTCATGTTAAAGTTTTCTCATCTAATCTTCCTCTATAAATATTTGGTTCTCTTTTGCTCATATTCACCAGCCAATCCACACAATACCTGACCTAGAAGCCATCAAATGTATCTTTCTTGATTATGCTCTTATTAAAATGGGAGTATACGTGTTATTCTCCCATTGCAAAAAATACTATAACTCCATGGATATTTAAAAAAAACTAACAACCCTCTTACCCCAAATATAAAACTTAGAGGGTCTGAGTGAATCTCAAGTTGGTGCTCACACTGATCTAGAGTCATCTCAAGTTTGGATACTCACGCTGGTTTAAATTCATCACAACTTATTCTATTTTTCTCTAACCATCTCGTCTCCAAAGTTTCATCACTTGAGGATATCTAACCTGAGATTGACAACAAGGAAATGTGCAATGAACTTCTTGTGTACACTAAAAAAATCCACTAAGCAGGATAATGACAATATGCAACCACAAGATTATTCACAACCAAACATGAATTCACACATCTCTGAAGTTCCAAGAGAGGTGGAATTTAGTGGAGAAGATAGGAAAAGTAGAACAAATTATCCTATCTAAGAGTATGTTGCGTATGAGAAGCTATCATTACTTTATAAAGCTTTTGTATCTAATCTTGATAGTGTGCAGTACCTAAATCTATTCATAAAACACTTTAAGTTCTAAAATGGAAAAAAAACAGTTGAAGAGGAGATCCAAGCTCTTGATTTAAAAGTCACATGGACCCTTACAAAATTTCCTCCAATGAAAAAACCCATTGAGTGAAAATGGGTGTTTAATGTTAAGTACAAAGCAGATGGGATCATTAAGAGATTTAAGGCTTGGTTGGTGACCAAAGGTTTCACTCATTATTGCAAAATAGACTATCAAGAGACCTATGCTCTGGTGGCCAAGGTAAACATTTTAAGAGTCATTCTTTCTAAGTTGTGAACACATAGTGGGAACTGCATCAGTTTGACATTAATAATATTTTTTTGAATGGAGACCTCGAGGAAGAAGTGTATATGAAAATCTCATCAGAGTCGAAAAATGGTTCAAATAAACATCTGGTTTGTAAATTGGGAAAGTTACCTTATGACTTTAAACAATCTTTATAGGCTTAGTTTGACAAGTTTGTTAAGACTATGAATTTTAATGGGTACATCTAATGCGTGATTGATCATACAATGTTCATAAAGCATACACAGGGAGATAAGAAAGCTATATTCATTGTTTATGTTGATGATATGATCCTCCTGACAAGTGATGATGTAAATGAGATTGGGAAAATTGCAGAGGTTTTTGTTACTGAATTTAAAAGTAAAGATCTTGGAGCATGAGATACTTTCTATGCATGGAAGTTGTCAGGTCCAATATGACTATTTTGATATCGCAAAGAAAGTACATCCTAAACCTATTAAAATCAACATGATTGTTGTGGTGCAAACTTGTGTAAAATTCTATGAGTTTCAACAAAAAGTTATAGTCAAAGAAAGAAAAGACACCAGTGAAAAATGGTAGATGACAAAAATTGATGGCTATACTTATCTACTTATCACACACTAAACCTAATATCGCTTACTCTGTCGGCATAATGAGTCAACATATGAATAGGGCTGTCAAAAAAGCTTATCGTTCGTGAACAGCTCGTGTTCAACTCGTTAAATTGCTCGTGTTTAATTTGTTCGTTAAGCAAGTGTGTGGAACATGAAAAAAACAGCTCGTGTTCAACTCGTTAAATTGCTCGTGTTAAGCAAGTGTGTGGAACATGAAAAATTTTTTTGAGATCGATTTATAAATGAGTCGAACATGAACAAAGATTTTTTCATTCGTGTTCAACTCTTTTTGGGCCGAAATAATGATATTATTAAATAATAATATTTTGCTATATCCTTTTTTATTAATTTTTATATATATTAAAAAATGCTAAATTTTATTTTTTTTAAAATTTACTTGTGTGGTATATTTATAAAACAAATATAAGTTTAAGTGTTAGATGTTCAATTAAGTAGGATTTATGTGGTATGTTTGTAAATGTCCCTAAAATTCAACTCTCTTCTCCTCGGTCGTGCTCCCGTTCTGTGTTGGATCTATAAATACATAGAATTTGGCGGGTAGTTGTTAGATATGTAAATAAATAGGATTTGGTGTTATGTAGTAAATGTTCGTAAATTCAGCTCTCCGCCCCACTCTTCGCTCCCGCTCCAATTTTTTGTTTGGTAGTCTCTATTTTCCCCACATCGGGACTTCGAGAGTGAAAAATGCTTTATAATTTTCTAAAAGAAAAAACCAGCTTTAAAAATTTCAGGCCTATGCAGTGTAAATGGCATGCATCATTTCTATTATAATGATATATTTATAAAAGTAAATTATTTTAGAATGTAATACGAATAGATTAATAAATTAAATGTATTTTTTTTGTGAGTTGTTAATAAAGAGGCAACTTGAATTTAATTTGAATTGAACACGAGCTAGTTCAAATAAATTTTGGCCTCGAGCTATTTCAAGTAGGAGCAGAACATGAAAAAAAAATGAACGAGCTGAACACGAGTAATACGCTTAAGCTCAGCTCGTTTACAGGTCTACATATAAATAGTCTAAGTGAAGAATATTTTGCAGGTGGTTTGCAGAATAGTGGTTTCTTAATAAAACCCTTGACTAGTTATTGTTTAAAAAATCGACCAACAATCAACGGAGAGATAGAAGTTTACACTGATACTGGTTGGGCGGGAGAACTTGCGTACAAAAGATTCATATCTTGGTATTGTTCTTATGTATGGGAAAAGCTTGTTACATGGAGGTGCGAGAAGCAAATAGTGGTCTCTAGAAGTGGTGCAGAATTTGAGTATCGTGCACTTGGCTCTATAATTTGTGAAGGAATGTGGATCTAAAGGTTATTAAATGAGTTGAGATGCTCCATGATCAATCCCATAAAAATGTTATGTGTTAGTCAAGTTGTCATTAGTGTTGCAAATAACCCAGTGCATCATATTCATGCAGGGCAAACACACTGAGTTTAATAGACAATTATCTCTAAAAGGTCAATAGCGACATCACTCAATATATATTCTAGCTCATCTTAATGCCACAGATGTTTCATTAATTCTTATTTCCAAGCACCTTCAATGATTTAAACACCAAGTTGGGGCTTTACAACATCTATGAACCAACTTAAGCAGGAGTGAAAATTTGTCCCTATTTGGTGGCTCAGTCTGTTTGTCATATGGGACCCAAAATTTGTGAAAGCTATTGAAGAGAGTTTCTTTTTTCATTTTTATTCCTTTTTATTGTGCTTCTTATTATATTGTGTCTTTTCTTTATTGTTTTTTATGTATTTAGTACGTTATAATAGCCTTAATTATGTTTTCCCTTGTCATTCCTTTTTAATAAAGGGAAAAAATTGTAATTTGGATACAATGGAGTAAGAGAATATTGGTTGTCCACTTTTCTTCAGTTTTTGCTATTTTGTTGTATAAAATTTTGCATGAAGAGGGAGGTAATGTAGATCCCATGATAAGTTATGATTCTCTTTTTATTTTCTTTCTATTTTTTTGTTTAAATGTTAGGGAAATTGATATACGTAACACACAATTCTTATGTATTTATATATCTTACACTTGAACTTTCATATTTACATATATAGCCACACAATTTTGTCTATGGTGCATGACTTTTCACATTTTTTCGTTTTATTTTGTTGCATTATATTACAGTATTCATTGAATTTTCTCATATTTTTCTGGGCTCAAACTACTATTCAAATGATATAATAAAATTTGTAAAGGTGCATGGAACATATTTACTACAAATTAGTCTATATGTTAAATAATAATTTAGTAATGTTTATTTTCATCAATATCTCATTGAATACTAGAATTAGGAGGGCCATTAGGAAAGTTATAGCTTTTGAGGAACTGTCCTCTTGATTGGCATCGAAGGCAACACTGAATTCCTCAATATTTCCATAATTGTGATCATAATTTCCACGGGTGTGAGCATGATTTCTTGTAACAAATTTTTGTGCTTTTTTTTAACCTACTTTTCCCTGAGAAAATCCTAAGAATAGCAGTTTTAAAACTTGTTTGGGACCACTTTTATTTTTTATTTTTCATTTCTCGTTTTTAATGTATTTTAAAAACATATTTGCTTAATGTATTTGTTACATGCCTCTATTTTTTATTTTCAAAAATAAATTTGCTTGTTTTTAAAAACACTCAATACATCTTAAGGTTGCTTCGAGTGTTTTGAAAAACAACTAAACATGTTATAATATCCCAAACATATTTTATTTTAAGTAAAAGCATGAACAAAACAAAATCAAAAAATAAAAAACAAAAGTCAGAAGTGATCCCAAGCAGCCTCTTAGCCTTACATTTGTTCCTTACTAAAGATGATCAATTTATTTGTTTTGCAGTGAATGTTGTGTCACTGGGATTGGCAAATCTCATAGGTGGTTTCTTAGTGATGTTACATGATGTAAGTGCTTTACTGTTGTCAATTTCTATGTTTTCAGCATTTTCTGCTACCATCATCAAAGTTTTTTGTTTATTTTTCGTTTGTTTGTTTGCTTTTTTTTATTTTGTTTTTTATTATTATTATTATTATTTTTTTGCTTGAGCCACTTGCATTATTTTTTTCAAGTTGTTGGAAATTGATGTCTTACAAATTTATTAATATTAGTCTAGAGGGCTTGTTCAGGATCAATTTTGTATTTTTATTATAT